TGATAGACTGCCCGGCCCTGTTGGCCGCCTGCTGTGAAATCCCCCCCCCCCGTCCCGACCCCCAACCCACGCCCTGGGTTCTCGATGACCCTACTCCAACACATACTGGATGCAGAGTCCAGGTGTTAGGGCGAGGTCTTGTTAGTCCTGCTGCTGGACCTGTTGAGCCAGGACCTGGGGCGCTAGCTTCCCGGCCACAGGACGGCGACCCCTAGTGCTTCAGTTTAAAACTACATTTGTCTTTATACTCCTAAACTGACATGTTGTTTTCAAGGGAAACGATATGAACGCACATCATAGATGAGGAGGATTTACTAAACCCCCGGGGGTCAGGAAGACTTGACCCCAGGGCATCGTAGTCTTGACGAAGAGTTCATCGTAGACGTAACGCCTCTGCTTCAAGTCTAACGTCTCATCTGCTCCTCTGTAGTACAGACTCTTCAGACCTCTCTGCGTGCAGCCCTTTCTTGTTGGTCCTCGCTGCCATCTACCAACCCGACCATCAACACCCCCCCCACCGCCCAACCCCCCCCCAAACCTTCAAACTTCCCACACACACTGAAAGTAGCACTGTCTAATTTCATTTTATTTCTTCAGCAACATAACAACATTTCTTCCTGACTTTTAACCCCTCTGCCAAAACCGCGTCAGAAATAAAAACCAAACAAACATCTGATTTGAATTAAACGCTGAACTGAAGTGAAATGGTACTGCATGATACGTAGTAGTATTTTTTTTTTTTTACACACAAATCCTGCTGTCACATGAAATCAGCGAATATGAGCATCATATCACACGGGTTAGAAAACTCTGGAATAAAACCTTGGACACACTGAAATCTCCAACCTCCGAGATCGACAATCTCCTTGGATTAACAAAGTCACAGCTCATTTCATTAGAGCTCACTTCAGCCTTTTATTTAGTGACAAACCAGATGGCTAAAGAAACTTTTGTTTTAACGCCACAGATAAAAAGTCCAACATTGTCAAGGACCAGTCATCAAGGTGCAATAAAACGTCACGACAAGTCAAAGGTCAAACTAAGAGTGAACAGAACTGTAAATGTAACGGTCTTTTATTTTGAAGGCTGAACTCCTGTCTCCTCTGTGACCATTTCCTGTTTCTAAGATCCCTCTTATTTGGATTCCTCACACATGTTTGTGTTATTTAAAAAAATATGTACAAATAATATGTTTATATTTTCTCTCTGGCCCAGCAGCAAATGACCCACGGGCCACCACAGGTCCGTAACCCAGAGGTTTTGCAGCAGTTTGATGCAGTGATAAGAACTTGTCCAAGAAAAATATATGATTTATATTTCTTTTCATGGCCAGGTACCAAATGGCCCATGACCCAAACTTGGCCCGGGGCCCAGAGGTTGGTAAACTGCGCTCTGAATAAGGGAACTATTTTTTATTATATCTTCAAATATCTACATGTACAGGAAGTACCTGTTGAACACACACAGTTGTATTCGTGCTACTGCAGTACTACTGGACTCTTTGTCTACTTCCTACAGTAGCTGGTCACGTGACTGCTAAGTGTATGTTTACATTTCTTCAGCCCGTCTCTGACAGAAACCAGGTCAGTCCTGCTGCTGACAGTACGGCCGCCTGCTCTGAATGACTTACCTAATCCCCCATCATTACCTGGAGGGGCCTCACGTCTCGCCTGTGGCCTGAAATAGCCCCAGCCCTCAGATTGCCACTGTCAAACCCCCTAATTTGCAGTTGCATAAACAGCAGACTGGGACTTTGGTGCTAAAGATAAAGAGGCCCTGGGGTTGGAAACCATGTGGTGCGAGCGCGGGGCTAATGACAGCGGGTCTACCTGGAGACACACCTCAGCAGAGGCTGCTTCACTGGGACAGACACACGGTGCGGGTCAGGTGCCTGTGATTATGTCTGTGGCGAGGCCCGGAGGTGATGAGTGGTGACAGAGGTTAGGTTATGCAACAGTGACGTCTGATTGGTCTGGAACGAGAGGAGAACGACAGCAGACATTCCACAACGCTGGTGTTTTTTGACCATGTGACTGACGCGCCTCAATCTGTGAACAACAACAACGCTGTCACGACAACTCCACTGAAGATTAACGATCGGTGTAGTAACGCTGCCGTAACGCTGCAGTAACAGCACAAGGTCACCATAAAATCTGTGTTTTTACTTCGACAGACGTCGGCTGTTCAATTTCTACCTGTGCTAAAAAGAGTTAGCTAGCATAGGAGCTAGCTACCACTGACGTCACAGAGAGTCCACAGGTGTTTACTACAACAGTACAACTGATACTTCAGTCTGACTCTGACCCCTTCTCTCACCCCCCCCCCAAACATTTACAAACAGAGCAAACTGGCAAAATATAACATCTGTATTTATTTGTTGAGTGACTCGTACAACTACAGAGAGTCCAGGTACCACCAGTGGTACACGCACCATAGTTTTGGAACAACTCCTAAGTGCAGGAACGGTCTGATGTTAAAGGCAAACTACAGACAAGAGTTGAAAATTTGAAAAAAGGTAAAAAAAAAACAATTTAAATGTACTGTATATACCTGCCTAACACTGTACATCGCTGACCTGAGGCGCAGGTTGATTATCCTAGCTTGAAGCTAAACTTATCATCGTGAACGTTGGGTTGGGTTTATTGACCCTCTGACGTGACTAATTATCGACCCCGCATTATTGTCTGTGTTGCTTTAAATTAGTGGTGGGAAACGTTGACAAAGTTTTAATCACAACAAATCACAGGATTGACCTTGATTAATCACATTCTTATGTGATTAATTGTAGTGGAGTTTTTTTTCACATTTAAATTACTGCTATAACTTAAAATGACATGTACTACTACTAATAATAATAGGATAATAATAATCCCAAGTGTCTGTTGTTGCTCCTGTCCTACGAGACATGATGAGAACTGTCTCCAGCTGTGACTCAGAAGGACAGCAGTCCACCACAGATGTCCCCACACATCTCCACGGACCTGACAATATTTGGCGGCGTAAACTTCACGTCTCGTCTCCGAGTGTCGGCTCAGCAGAGCTCCAGGGTCAGGAGGACCTGCTGCTCAGCTGATCTCCCTCTGACCTTTCACCCCGTCCTTCGTATGGACATAATAAAAGGCTCCTCACCGGGAGAGGATGTCGTAAAGATGGGCAGCCGTCCAGGAGGACACTCCAGGCTCTCAGCCAGACCGGCCGGAGCTGCAGACTGTGGTCAGTAGTGTGAAACCCCCTCTGAATATTTATGATGTGGACGGCTGACCTGTGATGACCTCGGTGTCTCTCTGTCCACTGGGGGCTCTTCTCGACAGGGATACTACTACTACTACGACTAATATTGATACCACAAATACTACTGCAAATAATAACAATGACAATAGTACTGCGGTGTGAAGACCACATCACTGACACTGTGAACTACAACTCATGTTTTGGTCAGAAAACAACTACAAACTGCTCCATGAACAGGTTCTAAGAACATCAACACCCCGTCCTCCACTGACTCGTCCATAAACGCTCTCAGACCTCCTCTGGCTCATCGGACTCAAACCTCTTTTCTCCTTTACACCGGGCCAAGTTCCAAACCTGGGGTGACAGAACCTCCTCTGTTCCTCTGGAACTCAAACTCCCAGACACTCAGACCGCGTTCATTTCAAACAAAACAGTTGCTCCATCCATCCTCCACTGCGATACTTTTACTTTGTTAATCTGAATGTTTGATTTGAACTTGTTCAACTGCAGCGTCCTGTTAATCACTCAATAAAAATGAAGGTGTTTTTTAATTTAAATTTCTAATACTATGAGCTACAAGGTCGAGCCGTCGTACTGCAGACCTCGGCACAGCCCACGGTGTCAGTGGGAATTACAGAAGCTATCAAACTATCAGGACAACCCACGGTTGACCCTGGTACTGATGGGACGACAAAATGACTTCATTAATTTAATAAAATAAAATGATACGGGGGGGCTTCTATGTCTAACAAACCCAGACTCACGATTCCTGTCACTGAAAGTCTGGAGACCAGATGTTTGACCTGGTCCTCAGAAGAAGAGCAGACAAAGACATGGTCACACACGTCTGTGAGGACAGACTCCCACAGACTGGAGGTCCTGACACTCACACACACACACACACACACACACCACCGACTGTCTGACTGTCACACACACAGCAGTCATCTGGTTCTGGTGCTCGGTTTATGGAGCAACATGGCGCAGCTGAGGACGGCTGCTGGAGTCCACGGAGTCCACGGAGTCCACGGAGTCCACGGAGTCCACGGAGTCCCCCACGGTCCTGGACTGGGGCTAAACCCGCAGCTAATCCTGTTATGATACGGGGACTGGTCACCACTCCAGTCATCTGTCATCTGTGATCTCTGACAGTGACCGACTCTAGTAATGAACCGAGGCAAGATAAGGCATGTCACCATCACCGCGTAACCGAGAAGGCATCCTCCTTGTGTGTGTGTGTGTGAGGCGGAGTAATGTCACTAAATATGAATTCAAATGAAATGAACGTAAATGCACCCCACTCTTCTATCACTGAACACACGTAGCCATCGGGGCAGAGCTCGGTTCTGTTGCACCGTGTGTTCGATTCCTTACCTTCCAGCCCGCTGAGCTGTTGCTGTCGCCCTTATCCTTGAAGTAGGGCACGTACCGGACCATCCAGTCGTAGATCTGTGACAGCGTCAGTCTTTTCTCCGGTGTGCTCTCAATGGCGCGGGTAATGAGATCCGCGTAGGACAGGTTCCCCCACGCGTTCCGCCGCGACGACTTGGCTTTGCGCAGCGGTCCGTTGGCGTCCAGGGCTGCGCCAGGGGCGCCGGCTGGGTGCTTCAGCTCTGCCGGCGTTCCGCCCACCGCGAGTCCCGCTCTGCAAGCCGGGATGTCCTCCGGTTCCACCTTTATGCTGGTGACTGGAAGACCTCCGCTGACCTCGTGTGCACCGGGAAAATCCTCCGGGCAAGGCAGCGGCCATGTGCAGGAGCGAGGCCGGCTCTGCGGCTCGAAATCCGAATCTACTTGATGAGCGTCCAGTTCGTCGTCCTCCATCATCAACATTAAACCCTCAGATGAAATCGAATAAATCACGAAGGTGGAAAAAAAAAGAAGGGGCAGGGGAAACGGGGGGGGGGACCTCCACAATCCCGGTATCCCGCTGTTCCTAATTTCTCCTGGCAGTGAATTTCTGTCTTTTGTGCTTGTGGAGCGGCTGGAATCACAGGGAGGATATTCAACAGAGTGCACTGATCATGATGGATGGAGGCGAGAGAAAGACAAATCACAGCCGTGCGTGGAGAGATAAGAGAAGTAACAAAAGTAACAACAATTGTGCGTCCATTTTACCTGAAGTCAAATCTCTAACGATTCTTATTTAACAGTCCACATCCTCCGAGCACACGCCGTCTCACGGCCAGGCATGAGGGGTGAAGGGGGGGGTGGGGGCTCTCACTTCAATTCACGCGCAGCAACAGATGATCATTCAGATAAGGAGCATATTTGCAGGGAAACCCGTCGACAAAATCCTCCAGGAGACGAGGCGAAGAACCGGGAAGAAGAGGAGAAAACCAGCGAGGCTGCCTGGAGAGCCAGCACCGAGCCGATAACGCGTTGTTACCGTAAATTATTCACAAATCTTCCAGTCTGCACGGATGGAGCTCGCAGCGCCACATTCAAGTCCATTCAGCCTGAACTGCACCCAACTGTCTGCAATTATCACGGAGAGGCGTGAGCATGTGACGAACCCACAAATTCTCAGTCTGGAGGGGGAAAAAATGTAGGAAAAAAATATTATCCACCAATCAAAGCAGCTGTCTATTTGTCAGAGAGACAAAAATGAGGTGAGGGTGGGGGTCGGTGGAGGGGAGGTTACGTCTCACCTCCTCTTTCTCCCTCTCTCCTTTAAATCCCACACATGCTCTCATTTGCTTACAACTCGCTCCGTCGATGTGGAGATGACGCGCCGGCGCTGGAGTGAAGATGCTGCCAATTGGAGTGCGTGCACGAAATCGATACTCTGTGAACGTGATTACAGCGATATCCCCGACTCTCTCTCTCTCTCTCCCTCTCTCTCTCGCCGTCTGTGTCTAAAACCCGTGTCATCGACGCACGGAGCTGGAGCCAGACTCTTCATCCAAACTGAAAATGACCTTCTGTAGTCGGAGCGCGTGCGCCCGCTGGAGCGCCACCGTTAGATGGAGACAGAAGAGATTCCAGTACCACGTAGACCACGTGGGTTTGCCGTGCATTAATAATAATATTAACAATATCATCGTTAATACTGTTAATATAATAATAATTATAATAATGTTAACAATACCATCGTTAATATTGTTAATATAATAATAATATTAATAACAACAACAATAAATCGTCCATAAATCTCTGGTCCCTTCTTTATCTGACCCTGTCCATCCTGGTCAGTCCCAGTGAAGACCTCAGCCTCTTCACCTCCAGAGACACTGTCTCCAAACCAAACATCATAGCAGGTCTCACTGCACCTGCTCAAACTGCTATCCTGTTATCACAAAACTCTACTACTACTAGGCAAAATGACAATAATATTTGCTTTATTCAAAGTGTCAATATACTGCGTCCGCGCATGATAATATCGCGCGTCCACGCTGCACCGGCCGATGGCCCTGCAAGCGGGGGTGGGAGTGGGTGAGGGGGGACAGAGGAGACCTGGAGTGGTTTCACATCTCACCCCCGTGGCTTCACCTTAGTGTGTGTAATTTTCTGTGGCGATTAGACGGAATTAGCGCAGATTAAAAGAGATTAGGTGACGGTAGATTTTGTTATCTGCTGGAGGGTGTGGGCTGCGTGCGTCTTTGTTATGGGTGGGAGTGTGGGCGCGGGGAGGGGTGGCGTACGTCAGCTCAAGAAGAATTTGAATAATAAAACAATTATAAAAAGCATTTTAATTTATAAAAAAAATCACTCGTCATTGACTGTATGTTGTCCTGTCTGAATCTACTATTTAATTTATATTTAATTATTGGCTCTTATTGTGTTTGCGTTATCAATAAGTAATTAATAAACGATCCGCCAATGATGTACTGTAATAATACTGCGTCAGTATCAGTATAGCAGTTACCTTCTCTGTGTATTTACTTCTGTTTTTCCTTCCTGTTGAAAGAGAACGAAGATTGACCAATCAGAGGCCGTGGTTCCACCGACTGCTGCTGTTAGGGCCCAGCGAAGAAGATAAAGCAGGTTTAGCCTAGCATAGGCTAACCTAGCCTAAACTAGCCTAGCCAAGCCTTGTAGCAGGATAAGAAACACTAAATAAATAATCCATCGCGCGACAGTGTCTCCTCTAACGTCAGATTTACAAACGAATGAACTAAATAAAGTTTTTAATTCAGTTTTTAGTTTAAACGAAGGGAGATTAAATACGGGTTGATGTTTCTTATCACGCTGCTATTTTTACACTCAGAACATTACGTGTGCTCTGTTCTACATTTCAGATTTAAAGATTCGATTTTAAGATATTTCAAGAAGAAAAATCTTATTTAAGATTATTGTTGATTGTTTTTTATTTAAGATGATCCCAGTGTTATGAAAATTAAAACACTTTAATTTATGGACAGTGTTATAATAATAATAACTTATTATTATTATTCAGATAACTGTGATGTATGGGACAGTAGCTCTATCTAATAGACAAAATGTTGCGCTAAAATAGGTTATATATGTAAAATACTGTATATAAATATATAGTATATATAATATACTGTATATGGCCAATAGAAAAAAGATTTCTGCCAAAAAATAAATTAAAAAAAACAGCCTAATGAAACAATTCTGTTTTGCCCGAGACGCCCAATGAAAAGATGAGGGAGAGCTCAGTCTGAGGTGAGGCTCTTCACTCCCCCACCTACCATCCCCCCCTTTTGTATTAAAAAAGCAAAGATTCTATAGAATCATATCGAAAACAACTCTACAGCACAGCCCAGTGGACACGTCTGTTTCACGCAATCATTATTAGTTTATTCTACTTTTAATGATGTCTGCTGGGATTGTGTCCAGCCTCCCACACTCCCGCTCCTCCCCCTGCCACCCTCGTGAAGGATTAAGCGTTAGAAGATGAATGAATGAATTCTACTGAGTGTATCATTAAGTCTCTAAGACTTTATTTTAAAACACTCTGTCCTTGTGCGTCCGCTGGCAGCTGCAGTTTCC